AAGAAATGGTTGTCGTAATGAAGAGGAAGATTGAAAGAAAAAAAAAATAAAACTGGCATTATGTTTCACTTTTTGTTTTATATGTGTTGTCTATTTTTTCCGTTTATGGTTCTCATGTTTGCGTCACCTCCTTTCCCGAACAGTTTATTGTCGTACTTCCATGGTGTGGTTTCCGAAAGGCGAAATATTCGGTTTCATGTACAGTGGCATCAAGTTATGAAAGGTCGTCTCGTTTTTACGTCCTGCGACCCCCTAAGTTCACCAAGTTTAAATAATACCGAATGCCCCCACCCTCACTCCGTGCCCTCTTCGGCCCATCAATATTCCCAGCGGATTCTATGACAAGGCGTGACAAGACTTGGGTACAGCGCTACTGAGACGTGACATAACGGTCCTCACTGCGTGACCTGATGCCTTGGCACTTTATATTAAAGTAATTAGAGCACTGGACTTGAGCACATGTTCATTCATAACTGAGAAGGAACCTGATGGTAACTGGAGCCGAGGGCAGCCTCTGGCACCGCCAACCAGTGTCATTTTGGGGTCCCGAGGCCCCGCCCCTCGACACGGCTCACTATTGGCTATTGGAGATCCTGGGCCCCGGGGGGTGCGCGAACCCCCGAAAATTTGGGGTCTAAAAGACGGTTTTGTCTGCATTCTTTGTCCTAACTTGCACGAGCGCCGGCTAATTTTAACACGGGGAGGGCAGGGCTGTGGGGAAGCGTCGTCAGTCTGCCTAGAGGCTCGGGACGCATTCTGTTGCCTGTGATCCCTCTTCCACTCAGGCTCCTGGACGTGCCTCGCCGCTCCGCTCCCAGCCAGCGCCATCCGGACGGACGCAACTCCTGAGCTGACGGATTTTAGCTGCAGATTCGCCTCTCTAACAATCTTCAGGCAAGATGACGTTCTGGCAGGAGAACTACGGCTTCGTCAAGGATGTCTATGACTTCCGTCTCCAGAAGTACCAAGAATGGATGGACAACTTGGAAGCCATTGTGTCCAAGGTGATGGCACCTAACGTCCAGTACACCTACAAGGAATTCAAGAACATCCAGGATTCCCTGACTGTAAGTATTACGCAGAGTCTTTCACCGTCAAGGAAAACAAAATGTCTCATGAGTCCAGTAACATTCACAGAGAAATTGAAGTTTATGACAGGTTCCTCAGAGCGCGGTGTCATGAGTCCTGTGACAGGAGAGCCTTGTCATCAGCCGCACGAAGCAATCTGGTTACGAGTGACATTTCAAAAAAAAAAAAAAAAAAGACTGTGGAAACGAGCTACTTTTGTGAACTCTTGTGTGAGTTAAAAAGTGATAAAGAAAAAATGCTGAAAGAAAGGTCAGCCCGTGGAAGAAAAAAAAAAAAAAAAAAATCAAACTATGATGAACAGGAAATCAAAATATGGATCAATGTTTTGCTTGTGGAGTTATCGTCAGCAACGGAAATGCAGTGTAAAGCGGAAGGAAACAGCGAATGCCTCGTCGAGTTGCTGTGAGACTTAATACACCTGTACGGAACACCTGCACCGGCGCGTCCTCTGGGAAGCTCTAGCGATGATATAGATACTCAAAATTCGAATGACGAGGAATTAAAGAATTGTAGTTTAGTGATAAAAAAAGAGAAGGAAAGTCGTTCAAAAGGCACTCGATGCATTAACAGACTGAATCCACGACGACAGAAAAAAAAAAAAAAAATCACCTGAGATAAATTAATTGAAGAATCTAGAGGAAAATCTTCCTTCATTAAGAAACAAACTAGACAATTGAAGCAAACCGGATAGATCTTTCATTACGCATTCCCTCTTAAAAAAAAAAAAAAAAAAAAAAAAAAAAAAAAAAATGAAGCCCAAACTAAACGATTTTAGAGCTTACAATCTCATATTTCTTATGCCATTATCTCCTCAGGCGTCACGTCACTGTAACCTGACTCCTCCCCCCCCTCTCCCCTCTCCGCTCGAATCTCCGCCATGACACCCATATCGCCGCCCTCCTGATAAAAGAATTTCGCATTCCCGATCGCCCCTCTGGCACTTATTACCCCAAGTGTCAGCAGACCAGCCGTCAGCACCGCCCGCTTGCTTACCTGTCATACAAAGCCGCTGTCATTCCCTTACCTTGACCTGCATATCTGTCATCCCGGGCTGTCATTTGGAATATGTCATTCACCGCTTGTCATGCGCCTTCGTAACAGCGTGAGAAAATCGCCAAGGTGCGTGTTTTGGGCGTGGTCTGGAGTGGTCAAGTTTCAGCCGCGGGGAAGACGTAAAAGAATGTGTAGTGAAGGAGGAGGTAGAAGAAGGGAGAAGTAGAAGGATGAAGTGAAGAAGAGGAAGGAGAGAAAAAAGGGAAAGAGAAAAGGAAGAAAGGAAAAGATGAAAGAAAAGGAAAGATGGAGAAAGGAAAAAATGAAGGGCCTTCGGTAGCGTCCCTTGCCTCCCCAGCGCCATTTGGAGTGTTCCCCAAAGGCTCTTGAGGCGAGCGTAAAAAAATCCGAGTCCTTT